TCTCAATAGGAAAATGAGGTAAACCAATTGTGATATATTCATACAACTGTAACAAAAAGGAATTACTGATTCACATAACATCACAGATGAATGTCAAATATGATGAGTGCAAGAGGCCTTGTATAGAAGTCTAAAAACTGCATGATTCCAGAACAAGCAAAATTCATGGTGGGCAAAACTAACTGTGATTGCTTCAGAGCAGAGGGTTAGAGTAAGAGATAAACAGGAGATGGTCGTGTAAATAAGCTATGAGGAGGTAAGACTTTCTGAGGTAATGGTCATGTCCCATACCTTAAAAGAAGTCTGGGCTAGGGAACCAGCAGTTAGTGTAATGGCTATGTCGCTGGACTCCCATGTAGTCGACTGTGGTCCGTGTCCTGGACCCGGTGGTTTAAAACTCACGCCGGGCACGTGTGCGTGCATGCCCAAGATCCCGAGAGGAGAATGGAGGAGAAGGGATTGCGGCATGACCATCCCCTCTGGGGGGTGATTTCTCGCTTTCTATCTCTCTGTCTCTCTCTGTCTGGCGAGCGCATGAGCCCTATAGCGAAAAACCTCTCCAAAAAAAAATAATAATAAGTCTGGGTTACATAGACATACACATTTGCCAAAACTCAGCAAATGTGTATGTATGATTTATACATCTCATTTTCTCTAAATTATATCTCAAATGAAAAAACTAAACAAATACTAAATTCCAGCTGAGGAAAAGCATGTTGAGTACTTAATGGAAAAGTACACTGCTCTGTGTAATATTCTTTGAAATGCATTAAAAGAATATGACAATTATTGGAGGGCTAAAGGGATAGAGGGATAGTAGTAAAATGTTAACAGTAGAATCTAGGTAAAAGTTTTAAACTCACAGAATCAGGCATTAAGAAACTAGGACTTCTGTTTAAATATCCATTTTGTAAGACAAATAATAATGTGATTGAATGTATGGAAGAAAATGAAATATAAATAAATAAATTTAAATTAAAAAAAGAAAAGAAACTAGGACATCTCAGTAAACCAATAATTAAATGTCTTTTGATTTACAGTGAACTTACTGGCATCATATGGCAAAGATAACTGGAGGAAAGAGAAGTTGTAAAGTGATTTACAAATACACAATTCTTCAGATAATGAAAGTCACATTTGATCTAAAGCTTTTACTTTTCCAAGGTTTTCTGAACCACCCAAGCCTATCTGGCAATAGTTTTTCTTCTTCAAAGTTCAATTCTACCACTTGGGGACAATTCATTTTCAGCATCAATGAAAAAGAAATCTACTATGCTCCACTGCACATCAGAGGAACTAATTTTTTTTTAATTATCATTTTTAAAAAATTGGAAACTATCTCCGTAATTAAATGGTTATGTGAAAACCTCATAATGTTCATAGGGTATGACAGCTTGAACAAAATAAAGGAAAACATTAACTAACTTTTCTAAACCATTAAAATGGTTTGAATTTGTTCTCAATTTTGAGTGAAGATCAGCCAAACCAATTCATTTGGTGGAAATTTAAAGCAAAATACATAATTATTAATATTCATTACACTCCCAGAACAGCAGCAAAGAAAAAAACGTTACCATTAGCAGGATTTTGTTGATTTAACAGGCACCTTAAAAAAACAGGTTCTGACCCTGAGAAACAAACCAGAGCACAACTAACAACATTAAAAAGATGAGGGATGGCTCCATGGCCTGGTAGTTAAGACAGCCAGATCCCACATGGCCAACCCCAGGGTTTGTGTCTTGAACCCGGCAGTTTGAAAAACATGCTGGGTGTACATGTGCACCCAGGATTCCAATGGAATGAAGAAATTAGAGAAAAGATTTCATATTAACTGTTCCCCATAGGAGCTGCTTTCTTCCTCTCTCTCTCTCTCTCTCTCAAGTGCACATGTCCCTGGACAATCCTCCACAAAAAAAAAAAAAGAAAAGAAAAGAAAAAAAAGATAAGGAAACTCTAAGAGCAAAGAAGTAAGAGGACTTTAATCTTTTTATAAATAACTCAGAAAAAATGCCTATTATGATTTAAATTATCCCCAAAAGAATCAGCAACTATGACCATCTCTGATAAAATATACTTAAACAAAATGAACAAATTTACAACAATGCAAATTTCTAAAACAAACAAAACAGAGAAGCTGAACGTTCCTATAGCTACTGAGTAAAGCAAATTGATATTTAAAAACAAAAACAAAAATTCACCACAAAACACCAAGCCCAAATATTAATAGTTTAACAGAAGAGTAAAGAAAAAGAATAGACTTTGCTCCCAATTCATTTTTTTAAAGAGTTATTTTATTTAACTTTATTTATTTATTATTTTAATTTGATCAGAGGGGGCTGCCAGGTCTGGGACTCGAACCACAATTGGCCATGTGGGGAGTCCAGCACCCTTAACCACCACACCACCTGCCGCCCGCCCGCCCCATCCCAATTCATTTTATGAAGTTAATTAGACAAGGTCAATATAAGAAAGGGAAATTACAGATTAATTTTAGTCATGATAATAATGTAAAATGTACTAAATCAAATATTACCCAATTAAATACAATACTATAAAGATTGATTTTCATGATCACATAGATAGCTTAACATTACACAAATCTGTTAATTTAGTTTACTAAAGACTGAATTAGAAATGGCATGATTATCTCAATATATGCAGAAAAGGCATTCAAGAAATAAGAGAACATCCTACACTTAATAAAGTATACATGTAAGAAATCTAAGTCCAACATCATGCTCAGTGGTGAAACATTAAATCATCTGGATCAGCTGCAGTGGGGCAGCAATACTGCGCTATCTGCAACAATGGATCTCTATGGAAAATCGATGGCTCGGCTTCTTGGTCGATCTAAATACCCACACACATGTGCACTTGTCAGTGATCTTGGCTGGTCGGGAAGACTGGGGCAGGGATTGTAGCTTGAGACCCTATTAAAGGTGTCTTTTTTCTATTTCTTATGCTCATGAAATAAAGAAACACACTTAAAATCCCTACTACAAAGATGTCTATGATCTCCATTTCCAATAGTAACTAAAGGTTTTTGCCAGTGCATATCAACACAAAGAAAACACACACACAATACAGATGGACTTATAGGAGGAAATAACATGCTCTTATCTTATTTTTATCAACAGTCTTCATCAAAACCCCCCAAATCCATAGATTATAAACTATTAGAATTACAGTTTAGAAAAATTTTATATTAACACATCACAAAAAAAAACCCCACAAACTGTATGTGTATTGCATGTGCATATACCAGCAATATTAGAAAAGGTCATTTTTAAAAAGATATCATTTGCCTTTTACCATTTACAGCAATCAACAATAAGAAATTTGATTTTAATTGTGTCACAAAGAATTATAATTTTGTCAACAAAAACATGCAAGACCTTTATGGAGGAAACAATAAAATATTAAAAATTTAAACAGGTACTTGGCCCAGCCATGGTGGCATAGGCTACCGAGCACTGCTGCACGATATTGGGATCACATGAAAAGTCCCCAGTTTAAAGCCCTGGTAGACCTGAATACCCTAGTCATACTCACAAACCCACCAACATTCCTGGCTGGCTGAAAAACTAGGGGTGAACAGGTGGGATGTGTGATGTGGTGTAACCCTGTCAAGCATATCCTTCACATGAAAGAAATAAATGGTTTTGTTTTCTTTTTTTAAAGATGAAAAGAAGACATACGGACCAGCAGATGGCATACCAGTTATGTTGCTAGACTCCCATGTAGTCGACTACAGTTCGAGCCCTGAACCCAGCAGCTTAAAACTCACACTGGGCGTGTGTGTGTACACCCAAAATTCTGAGAGGAGAATGGAGGAGAGGGGATTATGGTGTGACCATCCCCGCTGGGGAATGATTTCTTGCTTTCTCTCTGTCTCTCTGGCGAGTGCACACACCCTATAGCAAAAATTTCCTCTAAAAAAATAGATCTAAATGAACACAGAGAAAGGAAGTACCATAGAGAAATACTATATCCATGAATTATAAGATAAATTACTTTAAGGGTGTCACTTGTTCTCCAGAACTAATCTATAGAACCAATGTAATTGCCTTAAAAATCCCATCAGGTTTTACCACAGAAACTAAAAAATTGATTTTAAGGTTTACATGGAAAGGGACCAGCAGTTAGCGTAATGGCTATGTCGCTGGACTCCCACGTAGTTGACTGTGGTTTGCGTCCTGGACCCAGTGGCTTAAAACTCACGCCGGGCGCGTGTGCGTGTGTGCCCAAGATCCCAAGAGGCGCGTGGAGGAGAAGGGATTGCGCCGTGGCCATCCCCCCTGGGTGGTGATTTCTCGCTTTCTATCTCTCTGTCTCTCTCTGCCTGTCTGGCTAGTGCATGCGCCCTATAGCAAAAACCTCTTAAAAAAAAAAAATAAAGATTTACATGGAAAAGAAATGGCCAAGAATAGTCAAAGAACTGATGTAGAAGAAAAACTGGTATGTGAATAGAAGATGAGGAAACCTGACCTATCAGATACTGAAAATTATTTTAAAGTTATATTAATTTAGACTGTAGATTTGACAGAGGAATAAAGAATTCAGAATAGGTTCCACACATACATAGACACCTGATATACTAAAGAAATGGCATTGAAGATTAATGGGCCAAGGTAAATTATTCAACAGATGTATATGGACACCAGAAAATTTATATTTTTATCTTATACACAAAATTCCAGATGAATCAGGTATTTAAATGTGAAGCTCAAAATATGTAAAGTTTTAGAAGAAAATATACAGAAATATGTTATTTTTAAAAAACATATTAATAAAGTATTATTCATAAAGAAAAAGAAAGAAAATTAATATTAAAATTAAGCAGTTTCGCAGAGGTCAGCAAGTGGCATGGCTTAGGTGGCTGGATCCCTTATAGCTGACTCTGTAGTGTGAGTCCTGAACCTGGTGACTTGAAAATCACACCTTACTGAGAGGAGATTGCAGCCTCCTTGGGGGAGCGATTTTTTTACTTTCCCTCTCTCTCTGTCTCTCTGTTAACCACATAGTCGCTACAGCAAAAATTAAGACAAAACAAAACAAAAATATAACAAAATTAGGAAGCTTGGTTTACCAAGATACCACAAAGAATTAAAAAGACAAGTCACAAACTGAGAGAAAATAATTGCAACATATACAACAAGTAATTAATATCCAGAATATATGAGATAGGAACTCTCATGCATCAGTTAGAAAAAGGATAAGCCAATAGAAAAATAGATCAGGGCCAGCCTGTGGCCTAGTGGCTAGGGAAGAAAGAGCCCACATGGTCAACCATTCTGTTCTGAATTCCAATCCCAGAGGCTTCAAAACACACTAGGTTGAGGCAGCCCATGGCATGGTGGTTACATGAGCTGGATCCCACAAGGACAAATGCATGGTTCATATACCAGACATGGCAGCTTGAAAATCATGCACTTGTATGTGCATGCCCCAAAATCACAAAAGATGGGGGAAATGGAAAAGGGATTGCAGCATGACCATTCTCCATAAAGGGTGCTTTCTCACTTTCCCTCTCTTTCTGTCTCTCTCCGGTGAGCACTGGTACCCCTTGGCAAATTATAATACAAACAGACGAATACACCAGGTATACGTACTGGCATGCCCCAAATCAAAACAGGATGGAAAGATAGAGAAGAAGGGAATATGTGTGACCATGCCCTGTTAGGATATGTTTTCACCCATCCCCCACAATCTCTGGTGACATCTGCCTTCTGGCAAAATTGTTTAAAAATAGAAAAGAAAAATGGACCAAAATGAAAGGCATTTTATATAAGAGGAAAGATAAATGGCTTATAAACATATAGAAAACCCCTTGACCTCTCTGGTAACTACAGAAATACAAACTAAAAAAACTATGAAATTACCCAAGTATTGCCTAGGGCAGGGGTAAATGGAAATTCTCACACCCTACTGGTGGGAGTATAAATTGTTTACTACTATTCCAGAATACATTTTCACATTAGTATAAATGAACATACACCTTTTCCATGACTCACCAAATTCCATACCTACTGTAGTAATATACTCTAGAAAAACTCTTGCATATATGTAGCAGAAGACATATACAAGAATGTATCTTTTGCTCACTGGGATTAGAATTAGAAATTATCTCTGAATGAGTGATTAAAAATCATGCAGTATACATTCATCATCCAAAATTAATACTTATAGAGCACATAAGGATTCTTCTCATGGACTTTTTATCCATTAATTATTAAATTCATTAATAAATATCAGTATTATAATTTTGTAAATGAAGAGATAAAATACACCTGACAGGTCGACTTTAAATATAGTGTGGCTTTTTGTTCACATTGACAAGCAGATGTACTTTCATCACCAAAGACAATATTAAGTAATTCTTTTAAAAAATACTTTTTTGGAGATTATTTCAATTTATTCAGGATTAAAAAGGAAATAAAACTCTTATCCTTATCATCTTTGAATAAAATAACTTGAGTCTTAATATCTTCTTAATCAGAAATACACAGAAGGAAACAATAATATAGTGAGAGTTTGATGTCCTGTGGTCTTCCTTAATAACAACTCATTTTCAAGAGACTATAATCTACTCAATAAAAAGTATTCTACCAGGAATCTTAATCAGATTCTGAGAAAATTCACAATCAAAATAAACAACTTGCCACTAAATCCAAAACAATGAGGTATTAGCAGCTACACAAAAGGTTAGCCTCAATCTGATGAGTCATTTCTAAAATGATGAAAGTATAAGTCTCTGAAGTGTTTTCTATTCAAACTGGAATATATATAAAGGTAGGAAATCATTTACCAAGCAGATTGACGAGAAATTTTGCTTCGTTTTACTCTTCCATTTTTGACTCTATGCAAATCACAAACTAAGAATGGCAAAAATGGGTCTCTCTTCCTACAAATTAATATTAACTTTTTCTTTATTTTCTCAAGGTATTTTACTTTCAGCCTCCAAGTCCATAAGGAATTTAGAAGATGACATGGTTTTTAACACATTTAGGCTGGGAAAAGCCTTTCAAAAGGAAGATACTGCAGAAAAATCAGTTGTTGCTCCTTCCCTGGAACAATATAAAAATGATGAGAGCAGTTTCATGGAAGAGGAAAACAAAAATTCAAAGGTAAGTGACAATGTGACTTGTCATTTATTTAGATGGAAAACTAAGTAACTTTTATAGATCTTCTGAAAAGCTGATACTTTACAAATAGAAGTACATGCAATGGTCACAATATGCATTTGAACACTGATGAAATTTCATACATGCCAGGTAGTTTTTCCATACTAGAAAGCACCTCTTACCTGTAAGGTCTTTTCCCAATAAACTTGTATATAAGGCATTTTCAGAGTCAAAAATAGTATAGAGTATATTTGAAGTGATCAGTAAAAATATTATGCAACTGTATGATAGTTTCACTCCTAATAAGACAGCTAAAAGACAAATCAACCTTCTCTTTACAGAATGCAGGCTCCAAACATAATTTCTTAAATCATGGTCTGCCACTGAATCTGGCTATAAAACCTTATCTTGCACTTAAAGGATCTGTAGCTTTCCCAGCTGAGAATGGAGTTCAGAATACTGAATCAACACAAGAAAAGAGAGAAATTGGGGATGAAGAAAACTCAGCTAAATTTCCTATAGGAAGGAGAGATTTTGACAGTGAGTAGTCTTTTTAAAATTTAATTCTGACATATTTATACCATAAAAGAGAACTTTCAGTTTAACTGAATTTCGACCCAATTATAACAAAATCAAATCAAAAAATTTTTTAAATGCTTAATGGCAATTATATTAATTAACCCCTGACAAAAATGTGAAATTAAAAAGCACTGAATTTGTTATTGTGATTTCAGTTTACTTAGAATTAGTTACAATAGATCCACTTCTTTTTTCTTAATAAATCTTATGTGGTAATTATAGTCCCTTGTACAATCTAAAGTTGTTTTTCCTTTAGTGCTCAGGTGTATGCTGGGAAGAGTCTACCGACCTTGTTGGCAAGTCTGATACCTGTTGGTCCACATCATCTTTTCCGAAGAAAACAAAATCATTTAACTGCCGATGGGAAAACAAGCCCCTGATATTTCTGTAATTTATGTATTATTTTAAATGTCTGTTTTTCTTTTTTTTTTAAAGTAGTGTTAAAATATATTAATTGCCTAAGTGAAATGTTCTTTCTGTGCATTAAACTTTGTGAAAATCTGCATAATTATGACTGACTAGTATTTCTGAGCAATGCTTAACATACTAATCTTACATGTATTCTAGCCTAAAAAAATAAAGCATGATAATTTATTTATACTTCAATCTCATAAAAATTAAGTATATGCCTTTGGTGAATGGGCTTATATATACATAACTCTAAAACACATAAAAGACAAATTTACAGTCTAAAAAACTGAGTTAACTTTGTCTGGCCAGTAATCAACTTGTCCTTGGTGGTGTACTTACTGCCTTTAGTTACTATGGCTAGTTTGCCATCTGACTTATTCTGTGAATTGTTTGATGTTTTAGGTATTTTAACATTGTTATGTAGATGTGGTTCATTTCCATTATCACAGAGAATATGTTCACCACCCAAATCCACCTGTTTCCTTTTTGAGCTTTTATTTCCTGTCTGACTACTTCGTTTTCTTGATGCTTTTTGATTTTTATGTCTGTCCAGATGAGCATTTCCAGAACTCATTCCAACTGTTGATCTTCCAACAGATGAATTTATGTCCTCTGTAATGTAAGATGAAAAGGGGATAAAAGTTATATAACATTTATTGTTATAATTCCTCAGAATTTTACAATAAACTTTAAAAATAGCTAAAGAACATATAAAAAAGTCCTGATTTATAATAAAATAATGCTATAAATTATGTGATTAACAAACATAGCTACATTACTATCTCATTACTTTTCATTTTACCATACCACCTCTTATCCCTACCAATAAATATCTGCTCAAATGTATAACATTTCATTCTTAAACAAAAATGCATAACATTTCATTCTTAAACAAATGTTATAAAATATTTCTTATACACATTTAGTTAAATCAGACTGTATCCCATCTTCTCCATAAATTTGTACTTAGAGTTAACTTTAAAATAAACTCAGATCTTTAAAAATATAAACCTTTACATTTTGTAGTACTTTGCAAAAACAATCTAATTTTACTTAAAACCAGTTAGTAGACTAGAATTAAATTGTTTAATTGCTCAAGTAAGATCGCTTACCAGAAAGGTCATTTTCCACATGAAGAACATGCAAAGGCTTTGATGCTGAATTAACATTATCCCATATATTTTTGCTTATCGTAAAGTCATCTTTATAAGTACAAGCAAACTGGGATCTAATTAAAGTTTGCTTCATCTGGTAACAGAAAGCAAGAAGAAAATATGCAATTTACTCTTTTTTGATTTACTTCTTCATCTGGATACACACTCTACAGTAATAAATGTATTATAAAAATGTTCCCTTAAAAATTCCATTATTCACTGGGAACTTTTAACCTTTAATGTTTCTTAGTTTACAAACTCATTCATTGCTATAGCTAGCATTTTTGTTCTTTTTAGCAATACTGACTTTTGGTACATTTTTGATACTTTTTGTAATGAGGCATTGGAAAAGTCATGACTTATTTTTCTGTTTTTCTATGCAAAATTCATCATGACTTTTCTGATGACCCAATAGTTATTTTTAAAAATCAACTTTAGGGGACCAGCAAATGGTGTAATGGTTACATCACTTGACTCCCACATAGTCAACCACTGTTCGAGTCCCAGACCCAAGTGGCTTCAAATTCACCCTGGTGTGTATGCATGCGTGCCCAAAATTCCAAGAGGAGAATGGAGGAGAAAGGACTGTGGCATGACCATACTTCCTAGAGGGTGATTTCTTGCCTTCTGTCTCTCTGTCACCGATGAGTGCACGTCCCCTATAGCAAAAAAATCTCTCTCTAAAAAAAAAACAAAGTCAACTTTAAACACTGTTAACCTTTGTTACACATTCCTGTGTCTGGACCACTATGAAGAGTTAGTTTTATTATAAGTGAGACAATAATTTATATAATATACACAGTCATAGAAAAATACTAATTCTTCATCTCAAGAAAATACACACTGCCCAGCTCTTTTGGAAAATAGCATATGGAATTCAAACAATGAAAGGAATTAGGGAAGAGAGAAATGCTGACAAAAAGAAAAGAGAGCTCAAAGAAACAAAAACAGAAAATTAGCAAATAAATAAACTCTAAGATAAAACAAAATGGTGTTGGAAAGGCATTATTCCTTGGTTAACTTTAATATTTAGGAAAAGAAGGAAGATGATGCAAATATATCATTGTAGGAAGAGATGACCAAGTAATATAGAAGTCAAAAATTATAAATATACTCCTGTATTTATATTCAAACACCAAATTAGAGAACCTATAAAAATAGGAGAAAATTAGAAAAATTAATTTAATTCTTAGAGATTGAAAATAATGCCAAAAAAGTAGTTATAAAAATGTATTTGCAAACAGAACCAGTGAGCTACTTTAGGGATACAATTAAATTCAGAACAAAGCCTACAAAGATAATGCAAATTTCAAAAACTATACTTAATGTGTAATACAAATTTAGTTAGAATGGGGAGATTTCTCCAAATTAGAAATCCCCTCAACAAATTTCAAATAATGACTCAATAAAGAGAATGTCAAACAACTCAAAAATTTAATACTTCAAAGTATAACTACATTATGCTGAGCATTATTTATGGAGTACTTATTAATATATGACACAAAATCTAATACATGAGATGAAAGCGACTTGGGAGGCATTAGCCTCCCGGTATGAAATGTGCATCAACACAAATTCATGTTATATATTCACAGAGATCGGTGCATTAATCCACTCAGATATTTGCAAAAATTGAAATGTACTATGGATTAGAAAAAAATTAGTTTCCTATCCAGCTGCTTCACAAAAGCAAGTTTTCTTAGGATGACAAGTTTTTTTTTATTCCTGACTAATGGTATCTGTGAGATCACCTATGTCCCAGATCACTAAAAAGCATGTTTTGGGAACCAGCAGTTAGTGTAATGGCTATGTAGCTGGACTCCCATGTAGTCGACCGCGGTTCGTGTCCCAGACCTGGTGGCTTAAAACTCACGCCGGGCGTGTGTGCATGCGTGCCCAAGATCCCCAGAGGAGAATGGAAGAGAAGGGATTGCGGCATGACCATCCCACCTGGGGGGGTGATTTCTCACTTTCTGTCTTTATGTCTCTCTCTGTCTGGTGAGCGCACCCACCCTATAGCGAAAACCTCTCCAAAAAAAAAACCAAAAACCTAAAAAGCATGTTTCATGTGCTTACATGAAGCACCAGACAATAAAAGGTTATTGTTATCTTCCATTTAAACACAAAAATGCACAAATTTTTAAAATATTATAAAAATGTTTAAGATCAAAAAACCTTATTTTAGAGATACTACTGGCACCATAGCCTAGTGATTATGGGAGCCAGATCCAATAGGTCTGAGCACAGTTTAAATGCTGCCCCTGGTGGGTTGAAAAACAACCTGGACATGTACGTATTTGTGCCCCAAATACTGACAGAATGGGAAAAGAAAGAGAAGGAGCTGCAGCATGACAACACCCTGTTGTGTGTGGGGAGGAGTGCTTTCTCCCTCTGTCTCATTCTGTTGCCCTCTCAGTCTCTCCATCTGTCTCTAGTGAGTGCATATGCCCTCTGGTAATTAAAAATATTTTTTTTTTAAAAAAGGGAAACAGATGGGACCAGTAAAAGAAGTAATGGTTACGTCTTTGGACTCCCACATGGCCGACCGTGGTTTGAGTTCCATACCTAGTGGCTTGAAACTCACTCGGGTGAGTGTGCATACGTGCCCCCAAATCCCAAGAGGTGAATGAAGGAGAAGGGATCGCAGCATGGCCATCTCCTCAGGGAGTGATTTCTCACTTTCTGTCTCTTTGTCTCTCTCTCTCTGTATCACCAAGGAGTGCACGTGCCCTATAGCAAAAATCTCTCTTTAAAAAAAAAAGGGAGGTGGGGCAGAATAGCCGTTTGATAATAAATTAGACTACAAGTTATTACTGTCATGAATCCCTACAAATGCAACTCCTATTACATAGTTTCCTCCATAAGATGCCCTAAAGTATAACTGAAGATTTTAAGTTTTCTGGACTTTATTTATCTAATGAATAGAGAATTAAGGCAATTAAAGAAGCACTTAAAATAAATCTTATTAATAAAATGAACTCTATATCATGTTACATGATATCATTACAGTAGTAACATTCTCCATGAACTTCTATTTCCATCTGCAAAACTAGTATTAACTGTTGACATTTTCTTTTCACACATTTTAAAAAATTTTACCAGTTATTGCTTATAGATAATCATAAATGTATTGCTTATAAAGAGTGTGACAAAATCATGCTGGCAAACAGATGCTGAGGGGCTCTGTGAGTACCCAGATTGCAATGGCATCGATAAGTGGCTTGGGAGTCATTAGCCTCCCAGTATAAACTGCTCATCAGCACCATCCATAAAACACTCTAAAATACAAAAAAAAAAAAAAAAAAAAAAAAAAAAAAATAAATTTAAAAAAGCAATTACATTATTCAGTACAGACACCAATGTTTTCTCAATCTCATCTCATGTTTAGCACCAATAAAAATTTCTTTAAAAAGCTTTGGCATTTTCATTAATTTCTAACATACAATCTAAGTATGTTTGCTATGTAAATACAACCACAAAACAAGTGCCACAGCTCTCCTTAGAATTAGAGTTCCTCTCTTCATGCTGCCCTAGAGAGAAATTCTGGAGCCCCTAGGGACCACAGAACAATTACAAGGCAATGGATACAGAAAGTACTTAAAATAGATGCAGGTGGGAAAGGAAAATAATTAACCACTCTATTTACCATTAAAATATTATTTATAAACATTTCAAAACATGAGGAAGAAACAGAATTATATGGTAAACTTGGAATACTTATGTCTAAAAAGAAATAATTGAGAACAAATACATTGAAGGATTTTCTTTTTATAAATTATTATGTGTGCTTTTTTTTTCCCCTGCCCTATACAGTAGGCTCCTTTTTACCATTTACTACTTACTGAGTTCCAACTATGTGATTGGCACAAAGCATACTAAAGAGATTACTAGGATGACTTTTATAATCACAAAGACATTCTACTTATAAAATCTGCTGTTGACACACAGCTGGGAGGAATAACGAATAAATTGGATAACACAATCAAGATTGAAAAGATTTCAGAAAGCTAGAGCCATAAGTAGAAAATAATAAGATGAAAATGGATGGGGATAAACAAAGTCCTATATTTAAATTCAAAACTATCAACTACGGATGTACAAGATGAGGAGAACCTGACTTAAAAACAACATCTGAAAAATATGTAGAGATTTTAGTTGATCATGAACTTGAATGGAGTCAACAGTGTGATGGCCAGCTGTGAACATAGCACAAAAAGACAAGATAATATGATGGGAAAATCAGATTTTCACTGGTCCTGTTAATTATTTACTAGGTAATCTGGCTAAATCACTACACTACTCATAAATATACACCTGAGAATAATACTTATTTCACAAAATTATCAGAAAAATATGAAGTAAAAATATAAAAGGGCTATATAAATTCCAGAGATAAATGTAGATACTATGTAGTTGTTATTGAAATGACATATATGAAGAGGGTATCCCTATAGAATAATATCTGTTGAATTAGGTCTCTCAGAATAAAGCCAATTTTAAAATAAGTCTAGGAATGCAGCTCATAAACTTAAAATCAATGTCTTCATTTTAATTATTAAAATAATGCAAGCTACATTGTATATTTTTAACTTAAAAAAGATTGCTTTTCCTTTGTTCATAAAAGTTGAATTTTTTTGCACAAGATTAGTGGCTACATGGAATTGAGATTACTTCCTGCTGCAAATCTTCCAAATCTCTCTGTGTATTTGATTTGGAATCACAAATAAGCAAAACAATTCCCTCTTGAAAGTGCTTTTGAAGTACTAAACAACTAAGAATAATGTCCAGATTCATACATGGCTGTTAAAATAATTTTATGTTCAAGTCACATGAGAGAAACGGATTGAAAGTTTTCCTTTGTAGAGTGATTTCCCCCCTTTGGAAAGATTTCTATCCACAGTAAAATTGCAATGAACTTCAGACTTGCCAAGAATTGGAAAAGTCCTTTTGCCACAAGCTCTTTTTAAATTGAAATTATTAGTAGGTTCCCAGTTTGAGGAAAATAGTACTTCACATAGGAAAGCCTGACTCCACTTAAATTAAGATGAATGAGTCAAAACATTAAAAAGTCACAGACCTCTCAGAGTTAGCTGT